AACTGGAAAACCAACCACTGGTGAAGTAGTAACTGGAAAACCATCCACCGGTGAATTAGTAACTGGAAAGCCAACCACTGGTGAAGTAGTAACTGGAAAACCATCCACCGGTGAATTAGTAACTGGAAAGCCAACCACTGGTGAAGTAGTAAGTGGAAAACCAACCACTGGTGAAGTAGTAACGGGAAAACCAACCACTGGTGAAGTAGTAACTGGAAAACCATCCACCGGTGTATTAGTAACTGGAAAGCTAACCACTGGTGAAGTAGTAAGTGGAAAAGCATCGACTGCTGAAGTAGTAACTGGAAAACCAACTACTGGGAAAGTAGTAACTGGAGAATCAACCACTACTGCTGAAAAACCAACTACTGGTGAAACGGTTTTGCCTGTAAACTTCTGTCCTGAAGGGAAACATGATTGCCATCCGAACGCCAATTGTTTCGTGCGTGATAATGGTTATGTTTGCCGTTGCAAAGAGGGTTTTGTTGGAAATGGGACGCAATGCCAAGGTAAATGAACGATTTGAAAAGTGAGGATTATTTTTTGTTATTTCTAACTTGTAGTTTTCAAGTTTTTCTACAATCCTTTAAATAATATTCTGTTTTAGATGAAGATGAATGCGTGAAACTTATCTCTGACTGTGATAAGAATACAAATTGCTTAAACACTTTAGGGTTGTATCGCTGTAACTGTAAGGCGGGTTACTCTGGTAACGGCTTTGTTTGCAAATTTGATATTATACTTTTTATTTTATTTGTAATATTTTATTGTGGAGATGTTGTGTTTGTTTCCAAAAACTGATCACGAAAAATATTGACCACCTTCTTTATTACATGATATACAAGAGAGGCATCCCATATCTATCCTAAATGTTAAACAATTGGGTGATTGAGAAACGAACGGTGGTAAATTTTGCTGTTCAGAAATAGAATATATACTTTTTAAATTTTGAAAAATCTAGGTATGAAATGCGAAGCTCTTGAACTCACTTCTCGAGCCGCTCCTGTAAAGGAGATCTACTTCGCTCCACCATTTGTTATTTCCTATAATGCAATGTTACTTCTTCACCAGACAAAGATGAATGCAGCGCAGAGACTCCTGTATGTAGTGTCCATGCTGAGTGTGTGAACACCTTGGGATCTTACCAATGTACATGTAAAAAAGGATTCCTGGGCAATGGAACAACATGCGAAGGTGATTACAAATAAATAGAAGTTATTAAATAAGTAATTAAATAACTAGAAATAATTATTTAACGTTTATTTTTTAACGTTTCAGATTTCAACGAATGTGCTGATGGAATTCTTAAGTGTGATATCAATGCAGAATGCTTCAACACTATTGGCTCCTACAAGTGCAAGTGTAAATATGGCTATGAAGGAGATGGAGTGAATTGCAAACGTAACGAAATTATATATTTTTCTATTATTTGCTTTTTACTTTCGTTATGAAATGCATGCACTTCATTGTCATTCCCTGCCAGGGGTATCTGACTATACCACTTCCCTTGCCCCAATTTATTTCTTAAGAATTTCAGCGGTGAAATATGTTGTTTTTCAGAACTTGATAGTGATTGTGATCCAGAATGCACCGGCAATACTGTTTGCGTGAAGAATGGTACTATCAGTCAATGCGAGTGTAAACAGGGATACATACGACAAGGATTAGTATGTGTAGGTGAGTAAAACAAAGAAATAATCAAATTGTTATCAAATAATTGTTTCTATCCATGGTCTGTCATGTGGCGTGTGTCTGTCTTTTCATTTGTTTGGTTGTTCTGATTTATTTGTTTGTATGAGTTTTCATTTGCTTAACACGTTAGTTATTTTAGATCGCGACGAATGCAAAGATGGCTCTCACTCGTTTCCCATCAATGCCTTGTGTACGAACACAGACGGCTCGTATCTTTGTCTCAGGGTTACTATTGAGACATATAGATTGTTTCACCATAAAGTCCCTCGAAGTCAAACTAAAATTCCTAAAAAATTCCTTTCTTTTTGTTCGTTTAACTTTTGAAAAGAATTATTTAAAGTAGTTTTAGAAGTTTCGATTAATATCACTAACTTTACCCATTTTAAATTTTCGTTTATTCTTCCGAAAACCCAGATATAAATGAGTGTGAATCAGTTGCTGTGAACGGGTGTCCTGAAAACTCGATGTGCTCCAACACARAGGGATCATATGTTTGTCAATGTATGGAGGGATTTACTGGTGATGGAAGGACATGTTCTGGTAAGTATATGTAGGACAGAGACGTAGTAACGTAAAGTTTTAGGGGGAAGGGGAGGGAGCTAAAATGAACATTGTATAGGCATTTATTAAACTGCAATAGTGCTAATTACAGATAATTGAACTGATAATGGTTATGGATCTTTGTTCAAATTTCCTGAACCATCTGTTTTAAATTTACAGACATTGATGAATGTACCTCTGGAATGGACGACTGTAGCCCTTATGCGCTGTGCACGAATACAGAAGGCTCATTCATTTGTCGATGTCTACGCGGTTTTAATGGTGACGGCAAGACTTGTGTAGGCAAGTGACACAGGCATCCCAAGTTTGCATTTTATATTGGCTGCATAAATGTACCCGAATGTGTCTAGCAAAGGCACTTTTATTTCATTTCCCAGAAGCACTTGCGATATAGAAGTGAGACCGCTCATCTATAAACCATTTATATGCGACGTTAAAGCAGCTCGATATGGGGGAGTAAACAAAAGAATTCCAATGTCCTGAGAATTGGAACCTATTGTTTTGTACGCCAGATTAAGCTGCATTTTTAAGTGCTGCAAGGGGTCTATGAGTTTCATCCAAGAACGTTAAATGAACACGGTGTCGCTTGTAAATATAATTATTATATGACCGTGAATCTTAGAGCCTGGACACTAGCAAATCGAGCAATCTGATTGTATAGATCGCATCGCGGACTGGTCTAGATTCTCCGGTATTAACCGGTCCGATCGCATATTAATCATACGGCAAAAACATTTTGTCCTTTTCAATAAAAAGAGGTCATATAATAAAACTCTTATCAACCGAGCTTGGTCGGTCTGTACGGGATAATCTTGACCTCGGTCGGGTACAGACCTCGGTCGAGATTATCCCGTACAGACCTCCCGCTCGGTTAATAAGATCTAATTATTCGTTGGTCATCACTGAGGTGCCACGAGGGTCTGGATCCCTCGTATTTCCTCAAAAAAATTTGTTTTGATTCAATTTACCAGATGAATAGAATACTGGTGAAAATAACACTGCCAAATCGCATTTTAATTTCACCTCATTTTGAATTTTTCTTTTTTCTTTTCTTTTAAAATATAGACGCAATGTCCGTGTGTCTGCCAGAGTGCGGTGAAAATTCCGAGTGCAAGCTCCAAGATGGTCGTCCACAGTGTGTCTGTAAACAAGGCTATCAAGGTCCATCGTGTACTGGTACGTTTTTCCAACTTCCCCTATATAATATAAGAACTACAACCAAAGCAATAGCAACAACGACAGCAACCATTATACATGTAAGCAAGAACTCTGAACAACAATGTCAGCGAAGACTCGAACAGCAACAACCACCGAGCTATTTTTGCTTTTAGATTTCTCTCTAATCTGTCCTCTTTTCCAGACATTGATGAATGTAGGAGTGAAGAGAACGACTGCAGTGCTAATGCTCTTTGCACTAACATTCCTGGTTCGTATGTCTGTCGATGTTTACGTGGATTCGCTGGAGACGGCAAAACATGTGATGGTAATATGAACTATAATCACACACACAATACAATTACAACTGTACATTATGTAAAGTCAATATCTCATGAACATATACATGTGGCAAACAACTTAGTTAAAACTACTTCTTTTGTAATAAACGATGTGGTTGCCTGAAATACATATCGTCGTCGTTTTGTGTTCTTCTGATTTCCCCAGATTTTTCCTTTAAATTGTTAACATTGAAAATTTATTCCAAGTTATAATACCCGCACTGCACCCTAAGACATTAATGACAGGTTTTTACAAAGGAATAAAATGCTTAAATAATATTTTTTGTAGCCATGACAGTGATAACAGCAAGACCACCTACGAAGATAGCACAAAAAAAGACAACTGAACAACAAACCACTGCTGAACAGCCTACCACAGGAGAAAAGATAGGTCCAGCACCCTCTACTGTAACACCTACAACTGGTGAGAAGACTGGACAGACTACCACTGGAGAAAAAAAGACTGAACAGCCTATCACTGGAAAAAAAGAGACTGAACAGCCTATCACTGGAGAAAAAGAGACTGAACAGCCTACCACTGGAGAAAAGATACGTCCGGTACCCACTACTTTAACACCTACAACTGGTGAGAAGACCGAACAGCCTATAACTGGAGAAAAAGAGACTGAACAGCCTACCACTGGAGAAAAGATAGGTCC